ATTTTAGTAACAATATTTTGATATGTTTAATGGTTGGATTTACAGAGTGCCATGCAAAAGAAGAGGTGGGATCCGATTCACCTTAAAGGGTCAACCTAACTTCAACATGATCATGATAACCAACGTGGGTGGAAGTGGTGACGTCAGGACTGCTTGGATCTGGGGCTCCAGATCCAGAAATTGGAGCCCCATGCTCCGAAACTGGGGCGCCAACTGGCAGACCCGATCTAACTTCCTTGGCCAAACGCTGTCATTTCGAATCACTTTGGTCGATGGCAACACACGCGAATTCCTAAACGCAGTTCCATCTTCGTGGAAGTTCGGCCAGACTTTCGCTTCGCGAAATCAGTTCTATTAATTAATTATTAACAGATTAATCCTAATTTGTTTTATAATTTCCACGAACTAAGCACTTTTTGGAGATTAGTTCAGGGATGAATGTTTTTTTTTTCTTTTTATTTTGAATTTTTATGTCTGATTATATAATTTCTTTATTAATTAGAACTATATGTAATTGGAAAGCGCCAAGATAATTTGCATGCATCTGAGAGCTGTTCAAAGATATTATTGTCCATCAATATTAATACAGTCTAAATTTGAAAAATTCTAATTTCAAAATGTGGGCTCAGTTTTCATTTGCAGTAAAAAGCAATTTTGTCCCAAGATGTCGCGCCAGACGAGCATTGTGATTCACTTGTCAAGCTCGTATTCGCTGAAATCATCTTCATCCGAGAAGCTCGCTGTTCCCCGAGCAGTGGTCCCGACTTTAAGCCTAATGGTTATATGCAAGTAAACAAAAAATTTATCATGCAAGATAATATTGCAACACAACTACAGATTTTAACAAAAAATTGTTTGATAATATATCGATCCAAACGCTACTAGTGATGGCATAATCGAAGCATATACCACCAGAATATTTATTTTGTACAGAAAGGTGAATGATAAAGTAAGGCGCATAATCGAATGCAGAAAACAAATGGGACGATCTTCAAAGATTATTGTGATGTTTGATTGCATGCAAATATATCATACGATATTGTACTCTTGACATGTAAATCTAGATTATATTGTGGAGAAGGATTCAAAGTCATTGATTGTTGCGAAAAAGGACCTCATGGATGATAATAATAACTTTATGGATACCAGCACCATCGAGTAATTTCACTATAACAAAATTATCAACACCAATTTCAGGTTTCACAAAAAAATATCTAATATTCTAATAGATTTTTACTTTGATCGTGAAGAAGGGAAGAAGCAATTCCATCAACTATCATCAGCCCTAATAAAATACAAAATCACATGTCAAAGTTCAAACAAATAGCTTCACCTTCCCACATAAAACCCCATCTTCTAGCTTGAATGCTGGTTGAATATATTTTCCTAACACAATAGGGCAGTAGGCATAAGTTAGTGAGACAAAATGATAAGCTAACTAACATTAATTTAAATGAAAAAAAAAAAAATAACAATCGCCATTCCTTTGTAAACAAAAAGAAAGGGAAAATAAATTAAAAAATTATAAACATTGAACTGAAAAGAAGCATCAGCCCACCTGTGAACAATCCCCAATACATAATCAATGTGTAGATTCTCGACAAAATCATTGTCTTCTCGATCGAACAAGATTTTGTTTCGGGAATGATATCATTACATGGACAAATATATATCCATACTCCCAATGACTTGACTATTAAAGAAAGCCAAAAAGTCTTTTTCTTTCTAGGCTTTAGTTATGCTCTTCAACTTTTGACCCTTTTCATCCACAACAAAACCAAACATATTCCCAATTGAACACGAGCTTGATTATATATTTGTTTCGGGAACAAATAGATTTTCTCGAGTGCATTAGATTTTGTTTCGGGAGTTGTGCTGATGGATGGGAAACGTATATCCATCCTCCTAAGGACTCGAGCATTTCCCAAAATAAACCGTGCGGATTCCAACTCTTCATCCTCCCACACAAACTGTTTGAATATTACGGTTTTAAGTGAATAAAGAAGGCAAAAACCCTATAAAATGACAGCAATAACAAAAAAAAATATAAAAACATGAACAACTTTAACAGAACAACTGAATTATAAGTTCTTTTTTTCCCGACAGATAGATAGAGACAAATGCAAACGGATCTATGCATAGTAATACCGTTAGAAACACCGAAAAAATAGATTCATTGGAAACATTTTGCCAGGTGGCCATTAATTCGCGACGACACGGGTCGTGGCTATTAACGATCCAATATGAGTTATGCCATAATTGACGCAACTACCTATAGAAAATATTTAGTGTGGGCAATTCATTATCTACCTTCAGAGCTTAATGTGATTATTGGGATACATTTCGGGTACTATTTTTCAAGACAAAGTAAATTGTGATTGGAAACACAAAATTTAAAGAAATGGATTAGTTGGGTGACGTTTTACAGGGAATTATCGCAAGGCTCAACTGAATTTAAGCTTCTTGGCCAGAGGGAATTTGAGGTGAAAGGTTTAGGGCAAACTGAACGTCCTCAACTTCCCACGGCCTCATTATAACAGAGTTGGGTATTACTTCAGCTTCACACAGGTCACTAATTACACTTTATCAAAATCCACATTCACTAACCTGGGACATGGGAGAATCCCGATCTTCTAGCTGGAATGATGGTTGAAACGTGTAGGATGACGTCGTCAGGCGAGTCCCCGAGCCTCCATCTGTAATTTTCCGGTGCTTTCGACTGGCTATCACTATAGAGTTTCTGTTGAGCATTTTCACAAACAGTTGGTCGGCCAAACAATAGAAGAAGAAGAAAGAAGAACAGAGAGAGAAGAGGAAAACCTGTGTAAATTCTCGTCTCTGTTATCATCTTCGCAGGTTGTGTTGAGAGAGTACGATGATGGGCTCAATTTATAAAGGCAGAAACTGAACTGGATTGAGAATTGTGGTAATAATCAAGAAAATACGTTGTAAATTAGGTTCAGAATCAGAGGTGAGATAGTGAATACGGTACAGCTAATATCTTACTCTAAATGAACTTTTTACTAAATAAGACACGAATATTCTGATAAAATGCCTTCAAATTTTAGCTACAGAAATGAAATTATGCATTACGTTATCAATTAACTCTAAATCTGAAATTTAATTATTATTAATGGCATTTTGAATTAGTAACTTAAATTGGCCTACAAATTCTTGTTTGAAAAAAATATATATTCATACAATAAATTGTCATCTTTTTGTTATGCAGTTGTTTAAAATATGATACTTTCAAATTGAAAGTATGCAGAAAAAATAGGATTGTATAATTGTTAGTCCTTCATGTCATGACTTTTAAAAGATTAATATAGTGTAGTGCTTATGTGATGGTTATANAAATAAATATAAAAAAGATAAATAAATGGTATCAAATAAAAGAGGAATGTATTTGATTTACATCCAAGTATAAAAATGATAAAAGGTTCATAATAAATTTTAAATTGCTTTTAATCATATTTTTTTATCATATTATTACAAATTTTGACCTTTTTTTGTTTAATAAGAACAAGCAATAGATATTTTTAAATGCATACATGTAGTTTATGTTCTGTTAGTACATTATTGGGTAATTTTTATGAATATGAGCAACATATGTTAAAAAGACGCAATCTTATATGTGTTATTTAATGTGTGATTTCTTTATGACAGATTTGTTATGTAGTCATCGGATGTCACGACTTATAGAGTCATCGACACTTATTCACAAATAGTGTATTGACACGTGACCTATAATAAATATACTTTGGACATGTATCAATACATTAAGTGGTATATAATTCCATAAAAAAATCATATTACTTAATAGAATTTTTGTTCTTCATGAATGACATTATTTTTTTGTGGAAACATCATCTTATTTTTATTTTGTAAATTCAACCCAGTTCCAATTAAAAACACCATCTCATTTTTATAGATTTTAGTCCACTTAATCACTTGACATACGAATGATTATATTCTACATTGTTATTTTATTGAATTGAGTTTCTTCCACTGATTTCTCCACAATCTTTTTTCATTCATTTTGATGTCTATAAGGCTGATCGATCCACCAAGACTTATCGGTCTACCAACATTTCAAATCAAACTGCCCATCTCAAACGTTCCGAACCTCAAATTTGATGAACATGCAAATCGCGAACTATGAATCGGATCAACAATTAAAACAACGCTAGTGGCCTTCTCCCCGTCTGACACTCCGATACCTAACTTTTATAATCGAGCGAGATTATGTTAGAAAGTAAACTAAAATTTCTTATTTATTAGAATTAATATTTTTTTTTCATGAGACAAAGTTTTCATAAAATATATATACTTCCCTAAAGTGAAGTAATATCATCAATCTCTCTCTTGTCTACGATGAACACGAGTTAATATATTCACTAAATGATGTGACGTTAAAATAAATGAGTATTGTGTTTAATGACTATGAGATGTTGGCACGTGGCTGTTAGACATGGACTTTATACATGTGATTTTTTTGGACGAAAAGATCATTTTTTTGTGTGGGATAAAAATATACCCTTGATGCAAACTGACTCAAGATGTGTCTAACATGACGAAGAATCTAACTGTTGGACAGGTCCTAAGGAGAAGAATGACTTACATAATAATATACGTCCTAAGGAGAAGAATCTAACTGTTGGAGAAGAATCTAACTGTTGGACAGGACGATCTGTTTTTCTTCTTTTTAATGAAATACATTCTTATATTATGAAATACCATAATATTATTTAGGGAAAGGCTACCATCCCGTCACGGATCATTCCGTGAGAGTTTTTAGCCTACAGATAAAAACTCTCACGGAATGATCCGTGACGGGATGGTAGCCTTTTTCTTATTACTTATATTATTTTTTGAGTATAATATTTTAATTAAAAAATATCCATATATACTTTGAATATGTATTTGCTGACTAAGTGTAACAACCTTAATTTCTAGATAAAGAATGAGATGCAAACTGCGGATGAAAGAGGGACGGTCATCCAAATGAAACAAAAGCTAGCGAGCAATACCAAAAATTTGTGATAAAACAATAAGTACAAACCAAGCTACATCAATGCTACCTAGCTGCATAATTTAATAAAATTATGATATTTTACGTGTAAATATATACATCAGATCCTCTCCCAAACAATGCAATGCAATTTTCTTCAGCTGTTCAAAACTTCAAATGTATCCTTCAGCTTTAATTATTTCCCTTCAAATGATGCCAAGTAGAACAGAGTTTGGAAGTGTGAATATATACTCGAGTAAATGCAAACTATTTAGATGCTGTTATCATTCAGCAAGAAAAATAATGTTTAGCAGGCGAGGATTTTTGTGAAGAATTATAAGTACATCACATCACTGCAAGATTTCACAAACTTTACCACGATGTTACCATTTTTCGATTAATCTTGATCGCCTGATCCAAAAGATTCAAAATGTGACTTACCATTTTTCCACAGGTGGTCACTACTTAAATTGTACGATGTCGATCCAAAAGCTATTAGTGATGGACTAATCGAATCATATATCCCAAGATATTTACTTTGTACGGAAAGGTAAATAATAACGTAAGGTGCCTAATCGAATGCAGAAAACAAGGATAATTAAGCTTCAAGATTTTTGTGATGTTTAAGTATGTTTTTATGGTCTTCATGCATTCAAGATTGCATGAAAACCGATTATCCGATTATACTATGGAGGATGTAAAGTCACTGATTGTTGCAAAAAAGAACCTCATATGGTCAATACAACTTCATATGGATACCAACACTTTCGAGTAATTTCACTATAAAAGATTTATCGGCAAACGAGTTCGAGTTTGGATAAAATCATCAAATATTTTTATTAGATTTTACTGTCAAGAAGAAACAATTCCATTGATTGTCGCAAGTAAAATACACAATCAGTTCGAACACATACCTTCACCTTCAAGACTATATTTGGTATATTGCCCCACAAAACCCCCCTTCTTCTAACTTGGCGATGTTAGTTGAAATATGCGGGATGATGTCATTCGTCAAGGTACAATTTGATATGGTGATACTCATGTGGTACGAGCAATTAAACTGGTCGACAATTTGATATGGGATGATGTCATTCGTCAATAGGCTATACAATCTGCTATTTTTTACCAATCAATTATTTACAAACAACTAATACAATCCGCTAGTCAAATCAAGCTATTACAATCAACTATCAACTATCAGCTATCCGCTAATACAATCAGCTATCAGGTATCTGCTAATACAATCAGCTAACACCCCGTTATCAGCTATCCGCTAATACAATCAGCTATCAGCTAATGGGAAACAGGGCCTTTTGATTTTCGAGTTATCCTATCGGAAGGGGAACATATATCCATCCTCTTGAGGACTCGAGCATTTCCAAAAATAAACTGTACCACTTCCAACTCTTCATCTCCACCCGAGTTGTTTGACTATTACAATTCCGAGTGAATAAAGCACGCTCGCCCGCTCACCCTCCAATGGTCAGCTTTTGAGGTTTTCTTGAAACACTGTCAATGACAACAACAACAACAACAAAGGATGAACAATTTCAACAGAACGATTGAAATATAGGTTCCCTTTTTTACAGAGAGAGGAAGATGTACTGGGTCAATGAATGGTAGTACAACGGCAAATATTTTGCCAGGTAGGCACTAACATGATCGTGGCTAATACAGTTCCAAAATATTTTAATTTATACATTATGACATAATCGATGCAACTAATTCAAGATTATATACTTTGTATAGAAAATGTCAAATATATAGCACGTTACATTATGGCTTGAATGTATGAAACAACAGTTCCAACACAATATTTCAAACAACTATATATATGACTAATTACACTTGATCCGAACTGTTTTTTGTCCTTTTTCTCGTTTTTTTTTCAGGAGAAATGCGACGGCTTTTTTGATCATACGTGTGTATACCAGATAATCAAGTCTACATTCGTTAGTAAATACATACATTCAACAACGCAGAGAATTATGGTCTAACACATGCACGTTGAGTTTTAAGATGTCATCATGTCAATCCATTACCACACGTAAGAAAAATTAACTTCACAAAATCAAAGTTTACACACATGTTAACTTATCCGGGTCAGAGTATACATGATCCCAATAACACTAACAGATTAACAACTAAAAATCAATCTCGAGCACCTTTTATTATAGATGGATTTATATATGTTTCAGCTAGCCAGTGAGGAAAACAGATTCACCAGCCTTATATCTGAAGTTCACCAAATCGCATATCCCAGATATACCCCAAACAGCGAGTTTTTCTTCAGCTCGTCAACTGTTTCCTTCATCTCTTCAAGGATTCACTGCAAAATGATGCCAACAATGACATACAAAGTAATTTCATCCTCGTCAAGACTTTAGAATTTCTCAACGTCAGAAATCCAGCCCTTTGTTGAAGGGGAATGTGGCACTAACGTCTGAGAATCTTGCTGTCCCCGAGCACTGGTACTGCCTGTAAGAAAATCGAGATCAGGGACTTGGGCCCACATGGAGCTGTGCATTGCATATATATATATATATAGACATCACAGAAAAAAAACACAGCTTTCTAGCAAGTCAGAAAATAAAGGGATTCACCAACCTTATGGGGACATGGACCAACATGGAATCCTTATCTTCTAGCTGGAATGGTGGTTGAAACTCGCCTGATGATGTCGTCCAGAGAGTCGCCAGGCCTCCATCTGAAATCTTCCGGTGCTTTCGATGGGGTATCTCCATAGAGTTTCTGTTGGCTTTTCTACAAACACTTGGTGGGCAAATCATTCAAAACGAATGACTTGGATTGAAAAATGAAAAAGAAAAACAGAGAGGGAGAGAAAAACATCTAAACTCTGCTATGGATCATCTTCGCAAGTTGTGTTGAGAGAGGATGATGATGGGCTCAATTTATAATGACAGAAACTGAATTCGATGGAGAATTGTGGTAATAACAAAGAAAATATGTAATAAATTTGGTTCGTAATCAGATGCAGGACATTGAATGCGATACAGCTAATTTCTCGCTATGAAGGAAATTTACTAAATGAGAAAGCAAATATATCGTTATATAACAAAAATAACCTTTTTACAAATTTAGAAACTTTTTTCCGCCAAAATCATTAAATATAACCTAATATAGTAATTGTTAGACAAATCTGAATAGGCAAAGAAATCGGCTCATTTTTTTTAGTTTATCAAAACCGTTGTTTGACAATAAATATTTGTTTTTCTTTTAAAAAAATAAAATAAAATAGAAACCAATTCATAATTACTAATCCATTATTTTTAAAAAGAAAAAATAAAATAAAATAGAAACTAATTCATAATTACTACTGGAAATCCATTATCTACTTTAAGAAGCTAATTTTCATCGGTCTAATTACTAATATTTTTATAAATATTATAAGTTAACCATACAAAAAAGTATAATAATAATTTTGAAATGGTGTGTAATCAAATTTTTTTATATTCTCTTATACAAAATAATTTTACATTGTTTAACCCCGAATCTTTAATGGGTGTTGCTATTCACCGCTCCCTTTATTAC